CATTTTCCTGTGTTCCTCCAAATCAGCTAGATGCCAAGTTTTAGGTGCTTCCTGCACTGGCAGTCCATATGGCAGCAGGCCTCACTGAGGGTTGCTGATGGCTGCACGTCTCCAGGCCCAGACTCCCAGTCCCTGTGGGCCTCAGAGATGGTTCCAAGGTATGGGCAGGTTTCTAGGTGCAGCTTCCCAGTCCCCACAAGCCTCACCTGTGGTTCTTGAGTATGGGAAGGTCACTTGGCACAGCTTCCCAGTCCCCAAGGGCCTCCCTGCAGGTTCCCAGATGACTTAAGATCACTGGGCACAGACTCCTGGTCCCTACAAGCCTCAGCAATAGTTCCTGAGTGCGGGTGGGTTGCTGGGTGCAGACTTCCAAACTCTGTGGACTTCAGCAAGGGTTCTCAGATTTACTTCACTGCTCTATCCAGAGTGATGATGAACATACTAAGACCAGTGAATTCCATGAACAGGGTCCTATTACCATATGTTATTTGCTCAGAAGTGAATTCTTTGATCAGAAGAAATGCTGTTTATATCTTGTCCACTGTTTTATACCTAGAATCTTGCATAGTTCATGATACATAACAGAATCTTCAATAAGTACATGTCTCTTAGTTAAAAATGAATAAAGATTAATATCAGATCCTTTATAAAACAACTTTAAAGTTTTCTTTAGAAATATTCTAAACATTTTATGATAAGTTAAATACAATTATATTTAGTTTACTATTTCCTATATGAACTTGAGAAAACTCTGCCAGCCTTTCCATTACGTGAAAGGATTTGCAATTAGGTCTGTTGGGTTTTGTTTTTTTTTTTTTATTTATTTAAGGAGAAAAGAAAAGAAAGAAAAAAAAAACAGTGAAGGGGTACAAGTTATACAGATTTACAGGAGAAAAAAATGCGCAGTAGGCAATCACTAGTTAATGGATTACATATTGCCATCTTAGAAATAATTGTTCAAGTCACAAAATTAAAGCTTGTAGAGTGGACATTCCAACAATGATACTGCAAACAGTTCTGTTCAATGATCCAATAAAACTCTGTGATATCATTTTCTATCTTATACATTTAAATATACATGCAGTTATATAGTTTAGAGCACTTTCTTTTCCTCTCTTTTGTACAATGACTATTACACATTTTGGGTTTCATTGCTCCCACGGTTCTTATTGCTTTTTTGGAAGAGAGTAAAACCAAATGTGACATAACAGAACAGAATCGGTCAAGTCAAAAGGGTGGACATAATAGATAATATGAAAACATAATACAAGGTGATCAACAATGGTTACCATAATGCCTCCCACTATTTCTAATAGAATTGCCTATATCATTAGTTGTTATACAATTGAACAAAACCGTAAAGAATAAAACCGACAAAACCAAAACATTGGAAATATTGTAGGTCTTCAAAAGTAGATAAAAGTCAACGAGAATGGGCGTTATAATGAATCTCATTATCTTCTCAGCTGATGCCTAAACTTTCGAACCTGATACTATCCAGCAAAACAGAATAGAGGAACCTCAGTCAAAAACAAGATGGTGAGAGTAATACAGGGCTTCAAATCGAGATAATAGAAAGTCAAAGTGGGTTACTATATTATATCCTGCTATATTTTTCCCTTTAATTAAATGGATAAAAATTAAAAAGTAAATAATGGAGTGGAGATTGAGAAAAAAGAGGGCATAACAGCGAAACAGGGCAGATCAAAACATAACCCTTTAAGCAGAATAGTGTTTCACCACCAGATAATCCTGACCCAAAAATAGTTACCATATTGACTCCCTCCCTGAAGTCCTTGAGTACAACTTCATATACTGTAGCATTAAGTATATCAAAACAATGTAAAACCATTTAAGAGAATGACAGCATCATAGAGTATTTAGAATCGACTAACAGAAAATGAACAATGGTCTCTGTATAATCTCCTTGTCCTTAAAAGGTTTTTGCTTATACTATCGTACATAACAAAATCCAATAAGATACAACCTGTTTAGACCATTGGAGACAGAAGAACAAAAGCTAGATGAGACTTCAAAACAAGATGGTACTAAATCAGCATTACCTATTAAGATGTCATTTTCTCCAAAAAAAGCTGTTCCTATCATCCAATCTTCTCTGTCTCATTTCTGTTGAGCTCTTTTTCTGTCAGTAGCTGTCAGTTTGTCTTCTTCATTTTGTTCTCTGCTCCATTCGTTGTGGCCTCCCCGCCACTATTTCTGGGTTCTTTGTATTTTTCTTTTTTTAGAATATCCTGCAATACTTTCGGTAGGGTTGAATTGGTGGTTGCAAATTCCCCCAGTTCCTCTTTATCCTGGAAGCACCTCGTTTTTCCATCAATTTCCAGGGACAGTTGTGCAGGATATCTCAATCTTGGCTGGAGATTATTATCTTTCAAAGCTTGAATTATTTCTCCCCATGCTCTTCGTGATTTGATGGTTTGTGAAGAGAAATCTGCTGTAATTCTGATGGGTATTCCCTTGTAAGTGATCTGTTTCTTGTCTCTTACAGCTTTTAATATTCTGTTCTTGTATTGAATTTCTGGAATTTTTATTATTATATGCCTGGGTGTTTCTCTGTTAGGGTTGTAGGTAGCTGGGGTCCTGTATGCCTCATACATCTGAGTATCTTTACCTTTTGCTAAATTAGGAAAATTCTCCTGGATTATTTCTGTGAGTAGCTTTTGTAGTTCACTTGTTTGTGTCCTTACTTCTTCTTTTATGTTCTTAATCCTTAAGTTATGGCTCCTCTTATCATCTTCTTGTCTTTGTATTATTGCTGTGTGTTTCTTTGTTATTTTTAAGAAGTTTTTCATTTCATTCTCCCATGTTTCAAGTCTGCCCTCCAATTCAGATAGTCTGTCCTTAGTTTCTTTCAAGCTGTTATGCCAGTCTTGGATAGACTTCTTAATTTCTTGATAGTCTCTTTGGACCTGCTTCACATACTCAATGCTTTCTCTGTTTTCTCCATCAAGCAATTCTCCCCTCTTTTTCTGTTCTTCCATTCCACCATCTGCTTTTTCCTGGGTGGTGCTTAGCATTTCTCTAACTATTCTGCATACTTCTAGCTTCAGGTCATTGATAACTTCATTCCTGAATTGGTCTATGAGGCTCTCTAGATGGCGCTTAATGTATATTGGTGCGGTGTCCACTATTGCCTGTTTCTCAGGATTGGGGGCCGAGGAGCCTTTTTTGTTGCTTCCCTTCCCCATATTTTCTGTTCCTTATAAAATGCAATCTTACATAGGAGGCCCGGCTTCCCTGCCTGTCAGCCACAGCCTGATCAAATTGCGCTGGCTAGTTGTTCCCGCCCACCGCTGCGCCCCAGGGAGTTGCGGAGGAGGCAGCCTACGCGGGAGTCGGTCGCTCCTCCGGGCCACCATCAGGCTCTGGGATCTGGGTTAGGCCAGCCTAGGGAGTCCGCCAGCAGCGTCACTCAGGCCAGGCACCTTTCACCAATCCCGTCCGAGAGGGGAATGTGCGGCTGGAGTTGTCACCGCGCCCTGCTCTTACAGGACTGCCCGAGCCCAGAAAAACCTCCGCTGGAGTCAAACTGTGGTAGGGGATCAGTTTCTTGCTCACCTCGCCACCAGTCAGTTTTCCTCCTTGTCCGTCCTGTTTCCGACTCCGTTCGCAGACTCCCGTTCCCAGAGCTCGGCGTGTCTCTCCTTGCCGAGCCGCTGTGGAGGCAGCCAGCCGCTGGGTGGCGGGAAATCCAAACCGCGGTTTCCAATGGCGCGGGGTCGAGCCTCCACACCGAGATTTTTCTGTTCCTATTTTAGCGCCAGGACTGTATTCTAAGTTAGATTCTCTCAGCCCAGATCGTTCCTGAGTCAGCAGAGCATATCTCTACTGGTTCGTATCTCCTTAGTCCGCATCATTCCTGGCCTCTGAGCTGAGCCTTTAGAGAGCCTTCAGTAGCTGCTGCTGTCTGTCCGCCATGTTCTCAGGAAGTCTGGTCTGTTGGGTTTAAAAAAAAAAAAAAGCTCTCTGTCTTTACCTTCTATGCTCACATAAAAGAATATCCTTAGGTTCTACTTTCTGCTATACATAGATGACATATTTATTCCCTTCTCTTCTAGTTGATATATATGATCTAGGCTAGCATTTGTTTTAATGTTGAATATGTATCCAATGATACCTAGATGTCAAGATTTTGGAAGATGTGAGAAATATCTCCCATCTTATGACTTATGAGGCATCTGACTTACAGTAGTTTCATTGCTATCATCAAGTAGTTAATACCTACTAAAGAGAATAGGATAGCTATAATAAGAATTTCCATCCCAGCACTCAGGAGACTGCAGCAGGAGAATTGCTGTGAGTTTGAGGCCAGCCTGGTATACAAAGTGAGTTCTAGGCCAGCCTGAACTGCATAGTAAAACTCTGTCTCAAAAAGAAAAGAATTTCCAAAGACATCATGCACAGATAGGAACCAAGTCTTACATTCTGTGTCTCCTGTAAGCATAAAGGTAATTGAGTAAGATATCAAGAGCATACACTTTACACACCAGCTGTGGCTCATGTTGGAGAATTTTAAACATCCTAAAATTCTGAGCAGATGACTTTGGGTCAGACCCTCTTTCATCATTACCTCTTCTCAAACATGAAAGAAAACCACTATGGGAACACTTCTAGAAATTATTCTTGTTGGATTTTTAGATTTGTGTCTTCATTTTGTTATCCTATTTCTGCAGCTGAGCTGATGGCCAAAATAGGCAAGGCATGGACTCTCCCACCAGCATCTGACAGCCTACAGATGGCATCAGGAGTGATAGATGGAACAGGTGTCCCTGCATTCTGTATGTGGGTGAAGTGGGTGACCACATTTCCTGTATCTGCCTACGTGCTGCCTAGCCTACAGGTCAGAAGTTGGAGGCACTCATCACACCACCTCATCTGTTCTGGTTCAGTGCATAAGAATTCAGACTGAAGCAGGTGAAATAGTCTGCAATTCTCAGGACCAGGAGCTTTGACTGCCTCCACCTCTAGGAAGCCCAAATATGAATCTCTTCTTGGTCACTGCAATTCTGCTGATCCAGAATCCCACAGGTAACCCTGAACTTTCTGGGGCCTCGTGCAAATCAACAATGGGATGGAGTATTTCCAAGAGCACAGGGGAATATATTACACCACAATATGCTGTGTATAGGGTCTCCAGGACCCTAAAATCTACACACAGAGAGAAATGCCCTCTTCCTTGCATGGTATTATCCTTAAAAATAAATAGTCTCAGACCTGACAAGATCATAATTTCCTCTAAGAATGCATTATTATTGAAAAGAATGAGCCAAACATCTTAAAATATCTTTATTTCTCTGCATAGTTATTACTTTGATCCCAACCATGTTTTTTTCCACTCAAATATACATTTTAGCCTAGTGGGTAGATAGTAGGAAAAGATCAAACTTTGGAGTCAGGTTTACAAAATATGCCTTCAACTATCTACTAATTTGTCAACTTTGAATAAGCAGTGAAGACTCTAGGAGTCTCAGTTTCCTCATCTGTGGTAATAACTATACCAGGCTCACAGAGGTTTTATTAATGCAACATGATGTTGCAAATGATACAACAGATGTCAAACCCTCTGTAACTAGCACATCCTATAATTTAAAACTTAAGAGTTTCCTTTTCTCTGTCAAAACCAGATCTTTTGCTTTACTCCCTCATTATAGAAATATTCATGGTCTATCTTGCCCTTAAGTTTCTAAAATTCAGAGGAGCTCTAGAACTTAGGGTTCAAGGCAACATCTTTGTTTACAGAAGCCAAAATTTCAATATTTTGGTTTTTATCTCACCGAAAGTATTAATATCATGAAAGGAAAAAACACATAGCAAGATGAGCACAATTCTAGGGCTGAACATTGCAGCAATTCTTGCCTCTGGAGGGAGGGGAAAATTGGAAGTCAGAAGGATACAGCAAGTTCAAGAATTAGAAAGATGACCATATTTCTGCAATGACACAGAAACAGTGGAAGATATGCACTGGCAGAAGTGTGCAGTCCTGAGAGGACGCAGAGGAGGAACAGCTTTGAAGGGAAAAAAGACCTGACTGACTAACAGGAGAATGATTCTTGGCCATGATAGTGGGTTTGAACCCAAGAACAGAATTTGACTGAGGAATAAATACACAGTAGCAGTTTCTCTGAGCATGAGAGATGGGGTGCGTGTAAGGACACAGTATCCTAGAAGCATTCAGGGTGGGGAGGTTTGCTGAGGTTCACCTTATAATAGAATCCTTTTTAAGATATGAGAATAGGCCTTGTGGACACCCCAACTCCTAGCCCCTACAAGCCTCTCATCCCTTCCTCATAACTGAGTCATGCTCACTCTCAAACACTGACCTTGGCCTATTGTTCTTTCATGTGCACAGTAACAGAACAACTCAAGAAATGCTGGGGAGACTATGTTCAGGGACACTGCAGAAGAATCTGCAAAGTAACCGAAATACGTAAGGCGCTATGTGAAAATGGGAGATACTGCTGCCTCAGTATCAGCAAACTAGAAGAACGCAAAAAATTTACAAAGCCACCTCCTCCAAAGCCGCAACCATTTGCCTTAACTCTTCCTCAAGATGAAGTGCCAGAAATTTTCTCAACTCTCGAGACATATCACACATAAATCAAGTATAATTTTCTCTTTGTTTATTTCCCACTGTATTCCCACACAGCAAGGTGATGAGATCCACACCTTCTACCTTCTAGTTTCTTGATCTCCCGAATGACTTTCAAGAAGATTCTAATAAAGATTCATTGCCAAACTTCTGACTCTGTTCTTTAACCAAAGGTTAAACACGTATCAGATAGCACATACTAAACTGATAAGGACAACTCAGAACCTCTCATCAAAAGGTCAGTTATAACAGCGCTCTAGACACAAATAAACAATATAACATGGACTATTAGAATAAAAGACTCAGAAAAACTAATATGTAATTCAGGAGAGGGAAAAGTGGAGCAAGTATTGGAGGAGATTTACAAGTGAGTTTAGGATTAAAATGATGTCTTGTACAAAATGCAGGATGTCAGCAGGTAAGTGATAGCTGAGATGCAGATCTGAGCGTGTGGAATACTGCTGACAAATGGAAGGAACCTGGAAAAGACAGGACAGTTCAGGAAACCATAGCTGCATTTTGATTGGATGGAAATTACAGCATTCAAAGGTGAACTATGGAGAAGTTTGATTCCGGAAGCACCTGTGTAGCAGCAGAGAGCTGGGAGGACAAATGAACAGAGTTCTGTGGTCACAGAGCTCATTATGTAAAACAGAGGCAGGCATAAATAAGTTCTGTGGTCATCATTTCTATTGCTCTTTGGTAGGAGGACCCTTTGAAGTTATGGTGAAACATAAAACACAGAAATTAGCGGGAAATGCAGTATCATATGAGATTTTTTTGTCCTGATATCCAAGACCACACAAAGATGATCCAGATACGTACTCCACTTTATTCTTAAAGATAGACCAATGAATATGATCAACATGAAAAGTTCCTTCTCTAACTACATTTCATATTCATTTTCCAGTTTCATTTCTTAAACCTCATCACTATAACAACTACAGGCATTTTTAAGATTTCATTCATCCACTAATTTGTGGCATGTGCTCTTTTTATTAACTCCTTATCTCCTATTATAGGGCTGGGGTGGGGAATATGAAAGACGAGGCTAGAGGACGCATAGTGGCAAAAAATGAGCAACTACTTAAAAATTGGAAGAATAAGCCAGGCATGGTGGTGCATACCTGTAATCCCAGCACTCAGGAGGCTGAGACAGGAGGATCACTGTGAGTTTGAGACCAGCCTGCGCTATAAAGGGAGCTCAAGGCCTGCCTGAACTGCATAGCAGGACCCTGTCTCAAAGACCAAAAAAAATTGGAAGAATAAGGCATGTAAAAAGAAGACAGAAGTCAATCTGAAAGAGATTTTAATGACCAAAACTGGAACAATTTGACCAATAAAATAAATTACATAGCGTTAGACTATAATATATAAATAAAAAGCTATGAATCCTTGTTGGTACGAATAAATTAATAACAGTGAGAAAAGACAGGTACACCATATAGAATAATTCTAACCAATTTATGTAAATATCCCCTTCTCACAGAGATAGATTATTGCCTTTCTCTCTCTCTCTCTCTCTCTCTCTCTCTCTCTCTCTCTCTCTCTCTCTCTCTGTGCTTAGTAGTTTAACTGGCTTCCAAAGAGAACAATGTGAAAAGCAACAGAAAGGTGACTCTATGTGGGTAACCCTGATAAAATCTTGTTTCTGAGTTTATGGAGAAGTAAGTGTTGATAGCATGAACTTCTGGTAGAGCGTGATAAAAATAAGACTTCACTATGTCATCTTCCACCTTGAAATCTATATCCCCAGACTAACAATAAGAAAAACATCACAAAAACTCAGAGTGAGATTCTGAGACCTATCTGACCAGTACTCCTCAAAACTGTCCAATTTATTAAAAACAAGAAAATTCTGAGAAATTGTCCCAGATCAGAGGAAACTAAGGAGACACAATAACTAAAGGTAATGTGTGGAAACACAGATGGGCTTTTGGAACAGGAAAAGGACACTAAGAAAAAGCCAGAGAAGTCATAGTGAGTATATAGTTCAATTAGTAGTGATGTGTTTAATAATGGCTGGTGGACCACGGTGGTATAAGACCACAGAAAAAGATCACAGAGGAGTAGACTTGCTATTTCTCCCCTAAATATTGAGTAGAATCCAATGGTCAAGTCAACTGGGACTGAACTCTCTATGGGAAATATTAACTATTATAGCTTTCTTTTTCCTTTTACAGGTTAAAAGTCAATTTCATTTGCTATGTTTTTCAGCCAATTATTGTACTTTCACTTATATAATTTTCCCTTTTTAAAGAGTTTTACATTTATGGTTTAAAATACTTCATGATATCATCTTTCTAATTTTTTAATGCCTGTAGGATAAATAATGACATTTCCTTTTTAATTTCTGATATTGGTTGCATATTCTTATTTTATTGCCTTGATAAAATATTCACTTACAGATTTGATTACCTTTTACAGAAAGCATTCCACAGGCCTTGAGCCTGTGACCACAGGAACAGCCCATGTGTGCCAGCCTATGTCTAGGACCGCAGTCACTGGCCTGGGGCTGGGGTGGGCCTAATGACGTAGGTCAGGAGACACAGTGCAGTGCTGGTGACAGTCCCTACCCTAGTGCTTCTAGAGCTGGGACCTGTCAAGAGCCTGTGGCCTCTGAGGCTGGCCTGGACCTAGAGCAGATCCAGATTTCACCAGTCACCAATCGGTTGACTCTTTTCCTGGAAATCAGGAATCGGGAGGATGCAGTTGTGCTAGTGGCTCCGGACTTCGAGCACAAACAGCCTTCATCATTAGCGTTACACCTCTGGGGCCTGATGCTCCTGCTTCACACCCATTAATGCCAGATGTCTTTGGCCAACATTGCGTTGCAGGTCTCTGCATTTGCTGCTGTCACTGATCTTTGTTGGCTGCTAGTCTCTGAAGCCCTTCAAGACTGACGGTCTCTTGAGTTCATAGGTCTTTTGCTCAGGTAACCTTTCTGTAAATACTACTCAGAATAATCCTGATTAGGTTTACAGGACTTACCCAAAATCATGAGATATATAGGACCACTGGAGTAAGGCTTTATTTCAACAGGACCTGAGCTGCCAGACATGCGTACTAGTACACCAGGGGGAACCCTCCTAGAACAAACCACAAAGTCTGAGGGGAGCACTGTTTCAGTAGCAGCTGCCAACCTATGATTGATTGATCTAAATTTAAACCTCTTGATTGGTCCAAATTTAGGCATGTAATTACTCTATGTACAAGCCTGCTGATTGGCCCAAATTTGAATCTGCCTGTTGGTGCAAATTTTTCCAAATGCAATCCTTGCTATAGATTGATTAAAATTCAATTTACTGCTTAGTTCAAGTTCAAACCTACTGTAGTCAGTGCATATATGTGGGGTGGCCAGGACGCTATAGCTGTCATGGCAGTAGTTTAAAAAACACCAAAGACATGAGCTGTTTGTTTAACAGCTGTCACATCTCCATAAAAGTTGATAGGGCTCGTCAAGAGGGCTAGCTATGTTACTTGCACCTTACTGGGATTGGGAGAGGTTGGAGATATTAATAATGGACTCAGATCCCTCCCTGATCTTTGGAGTGTGGAGGTGCTTTGTGTACCACTTCTTTAAGTGGCTGTGAAGTAATCCAGGAAGACACTAAAGCAAGTTGTCCCAGTCAATCCTGGGGGAAGGGGCCAGAGGGACTGAAAGGAGGCAAGAGGGTGGAGCATGACAGCTGCTGGTCACGGGAAAAATGGGAGAGTCAGCACTGCTCCACCCCATGGAGACTGAGGTAATCAGTCCTTGGACCTAAGGCGGCAGGAACCCACCTAACGAAGAGGTGGGATCAGAAGCCCAGCCTGTGGGTACAAGCCTGGCCTAGGGCTACAGCAGATGGCCTGGCCCTAGTGGGCCTGGGCCTGTGTCCACAGGGGTCATTGAGTGACTAGGACCTGAGTAGGCCTAGAATTGAGGCAGACTTGAAGCCTGGGCCTTATGGTACTATGCAGGTGGCGGGGATAGGACTAGACACCAAGTGCCCTGTGCAGGCCTGGAGCCTGAATCCGCAAGATGTCATCTGGCCCTGGACAGGCCCAGAGGCTGTCTGTAGAAGTCCAAGGCCTAGAGGGCTGTTATGGTTGAAACACTGTGTCAACTTGAGAAGTTTAGAAGTTTGAGAGACTCAGCAGGAAGCCAAGATACTTACTTTGTAAGTTCTTCATCCTGTGCAAGAAGAGGGCACAGAAATTTTATGAGTGCTACACCTATCTTGGAGGTTCAGGGGGTCCTGTGTACAGTACAAGACAGGAAAATAGGCTTGTTCACCGCTTTTGCTCTGACTGCTGCCTTGAAGTGTTGCCCCAGTGCCATACCACCCTGCCTCGGAGCCAGCTGATGATACAGTGAAACAAACAGTGAGCTAAATAAACCTTTCCTTCCTTCATTTTGGGTGTCGGTGCTTTGTTCCAGCAATGAGAGAAAAGTAACCAACACAAGGGCCTACCAAGCAATAGATTTTACTTCAACAGCCCTGCTTCAGGGTACTATAAATGCTAATCCTCATATGTCACCTTTATTGGAATAAAACAGCAGTCCTTAACATTTTTGGCACCAGGAACTTGTTTCATGGAAGACAATTTTTCCAGCGATTAGGAAGATGGTGGTTTGGGATGATTCAAGTGCATTCCAGCTACTATTTGCAGCTGCTCCCCTGTACTAGCATCGCTGCTTCTGCTGCACCTCAGATCATGAGGCACTAGATTCTCATAAAGAGTGCACAACCTAAATCCCTTATACATGCAGTTCACAGTAGTGTTTGGGATCCTATGAGGATTTGCACCACTGCTCATTTGACAGGAGGTGAAGCTCAGGCCCTAGAGGTAAAGATAGGAAGCCCTGTTAACATTTGTGAAGCTTTGTTCACTTTCGTGTTCCTCACTTCCTGCTGTGTGGCCAACTTCCTAAGAGGACGTGGACCAGTACTGTCCATGAGCCAGAGACTGGGGACACTGTGATTAAGAAATGCAGTCTATGTAATATTTCCTGTGCAGCTGAGATTTGTTCATAAAATCTTTGCCTACATCTGTATCTTAAAGAGTTTTATCTATTCTACCTTCCAACATATTGTTTCCATATTAATATTCAGACATTTGATCCACTTCGATTTTAGTTTAGTGCCCACTAAGCAATTTGAGTCGGGGTTTAATCTTTAGCATAAGGAGAGCCGGTTTTCCCAGCATCATTTAGTGAAGAGGCTATCTTTCGTCCAGTAAATATGTTCAGCCCCTTTGTCAAAGATAAGTGACTGGATGTGTTTGGAGTTTTCCGCATCTTCTCTTCTGTTCCACTGATCCTCAGGTCTGTTTGTTTTCTTTGTTTATTTGTTTGTTTGCCAGTTCCATGCTATTTTTATCATGATATCTTTGTAGTACGATTTAAAGTTGGCAATTGTAATGCCCCTGCTTGCTTTTTTTCCCCCTAGAATTCCTTTTGCTATTCTAGGTCTCTTCTGATTCCAAATGAATTTTAGGATTATTCTCTCTAGTTCTGTGAGGTATGCTAGTGATATTTTGTTTGGACTTGCGTTAAATTTGCCTAACAGTTTTGAAAGTATAGCCATTTTCATGGTGGTGGACTTGGACTGCGGTGGACAGGGAAAAGCTAATGGAAAACAAGTTCTTCCCTGTGCCCAGATGCCTGCGTCCTTTACATGGCCTTCAGGAGATGTTATGTTGCCTTAAGATCACTGCAGTTATGAGCCAGGAGGCTTGGCAGCCTTCCACACAATTCTGTTCAGGAAAGGTCGCACCGACCTTGAGACTATGGGACCCCAGTCACACAGCCTGGTCCCTAGCACAGTAAAGTATAATTTCATATCCCCTGGTCTTATAGACCTTTTATATTATCAGACCTTTTTATTTATTTTTTTTTTTTTGAGTCAGGATCTCACTACATTACCCTAGCAAAATTCAAACTTGCAATCTTTCTGCTTTGGCCTCCAAAGTACTGGGAATATACACTTGAGCCAGGATATCCGTCTTACTTAGTTTTTAATTGACATATATTATACATTATGTGTACACGTTAATGAGTAGTGTAGACAGTAGGATAGTGGTCAATAAAGGGTAGGAAGGATGGATGGAGAGGAAATAGAGAGATACAGAGATTCATTGGATAATGAATACCAAAATACCTAGACAGGAAGAATTGGCTGTAGCATTCCATAGCACAGGGTAGTAACTGTAGTTTACACAATTTATTACATATGCAAAATACCTAGAAGAGAAACGTTCAAAGGTTCCAACATAGAGAAATAATAAATATTTGAGGGAATAAAAATCCCAATTACCTTGACTTGATAATAATCTCTTTTATACATGTATTGAATTATACCACTGATTAGAATTAACAATGCAGATTTTTTTATTTTGGCACTTCAAATTAGTTAACTGTATTTTGACTATAAACCATAATTCATTTTAATGTTTAGACATTATAAATAATTGTCTTCCAGTTCTTACTATGTGGAAATATAGCACAAAATGCTAAAGATTGTAATCATGTTATTTTCATGTTTCCAAGTTCATACAGTAGGAGAATTTTAGATGTTCCTGTGTGACCTGATCCTTGGAATCAGAAAATAACACCTGAGCTTTTTATACTAGTCTGATAACGTGTGGTTTGTATAGGGCCTATTTACTGATAATATTCCTGAGCAGCTGAGAAACTAAGGTTAAATTACAAATATCATCATAAGATTGTTTGGGCCATGATTGTTTTAAGTATGTGGGTGTAGAAATGATTCTTGAAATGGATCTTAATTGTTGTTACTGTCATTATTCTAGTCTTTGCTAATTAAGTTTCACTAAGGTACAGACCCTCTCTTTTTACAAGTCTGTGCCTATGAGCCTGTGTTTATAGCCTGACATCTTACATACAGACATACTGACATACAGATGTCAGGCTATAAGAAACACGTGTTAGAGGAGACCTTGTATATAGCTAACCTATTATACTACTAAGGCCAAAATTTCAAAGGCAAAAAGCAAATTGCCAGACAGAAATATAATCAGGCCCTCTTCAGAAGTGGCCAGTGGAGGGTGATAAAGGAGCACCATCTCAGAAGGAAGCTCCCTGAGCATGGAGAGTGCTGGGTGTGACGCTTCTCTCAGAGAGCAGAACTGAGTCCTTACCAAGAAAAGTCTCCCCCAACCGAGTGCGGGACGCAGCCGGCATCACAGTGTGATTCAAGTTGCTATCACCCAGCAACTGCTGTGTACTGTCCATTCTTCTTTCTTCCAAATAAGGGCGTGGTGGTTACAACATTATGAAGTAAATATTATATATAACATGCTAGCTACATGCTAAAATGAGCACATCATTGAACCATAAACAAAAATGAAATCCTGTTGTTTTCACCAAGATGAATACAACTGGGAGATGGTATATTAAGTGAAATAAACCAGACACATAAAACAAATGCAACATACTCCGTCTCTTAAATGTGTAAGTTTAGAAAATATCAATGCTGTGGGCGGGTGGCACACACCTGCCATCCCAGAGGCTGAGACAGGTGGATCACTGTGAGCTCAAGGCCAGCCTTTGTTGTGTAGCGGCTTCAAGGCCAGCCTGAACTACACAGTGAGGGCCTGTCACCAGAAAAAGTCAATGTGAATGCATAATCGTGATTACTCCAGATAGGGCAGTAATTAGTGGGAGGATGAGTAACAGGTATCAAAAGGGAGTTAGATGAAATAAATTCTAGGGCTTCACAGCACAAAGGGGAGAATATTGTCCATCATAACTAACATTATGTCGAAGGAAACCTGAATGCTCAATGCCTCCTCTCTCTTTCTCCCCTTCTACCTCCTTAGAGAGAGTTTGCTAACCACCAAGCATTAATTAAAGGGAAGAAAATATTTGAGCATTTTAATAATATTTATTGGGGCAGATCTGATGGAGCAGAGCTGATGTAAAGACTGCTAAGAGAGAGATGAAGCTCAGAAAGAGGAGCTTGAAGATTCCAAACATAATAAAATAATAAGAAAATGGAAATAGTAACTACTTTCAGTTGACCAGGGCATTCTTGTGTTCATGAATTGACATACTATGATCTAACTCATAAATACACACAGTTGTTACACACTAATCAAAAATAAAGAAATTTTTCAAACCAGCATATCTTATTTAAAAACAAGTATCAAGGGCCAGGGATTTAGCTCAGCGGCATAAGTGCTTGCTTGGCAAGCGCGAGATCTTAAGTTCGATCCCTGGTTACCCCCCCCCGCAAAATCAAATTACTCATTTATGGAAATAAAATAAAATAATTTTAAATAATTCATAAAATTTTGGAGAATACTCTAAGACAGATCAAAAATAAGGTATTACGAATATTGCCTATATCAGAAGGGTAAATGATGACAATATAGGATTTCTGCTTAATTTTGTAAATAAAAATAGGGCATAAAAAGAGACCTAACAATACTGCCCATAATCATTTATCCTATGAGTATGGAAAGAATACAAGAATAATAAGGAAACTAGTCCACCCAGTCAAAATAGAATTCAAGGTTTAATTATCTCTTTTGTTACAGATAATTCTCTGATACTAACTCACCCAAAATGAAAATCTTGTATTTAATTTATCTGGGGACTAATATAGGGTATATACTTTAAAAACCATGGGCCAGACCCACTTTGTATCAGAATAACAAAGTGGACACCCCCAAAATGTCCCTGACGACACTGTGGTAGAACCCAGAGAAAGAAAAGATTTTCCTGTGTAAGTGCTATTACTAAGACTCTCAGAATTCAACTGAAAACATCTCCACATTAATCTCTGAAGTGCTGAAATCCCAACAAAAATTTCTAAAGCCCTGCAATGAAGTCTAGTCATTGCTTCCTATATGCTTCTCCAGAATTCTCAAAAACCATAATACTAAAAGGAAGGTCCTCGTGTGCTTTTAAAACCGTAACATCCCATCTAAATATTTGTCTCTCTGTCCTCCCTCCAGTAAAATGAAATGATGAGCTGCGTATGGAGGAATAAGGTTTCCAGTTGCTTTAGCCCGTGTGAGTAAATGTAGTGCAGTAGTAATTTACAGTCAGTGTTTTAAATCAAGCAATGACCATTGACGCTGCCCAGAAGTTTCTGTTTTGCTACCTGGGAGCATTGCCTGCCATCATGACCCACTACAGCTCTCTCTAGCTCATGAAGCACTTCTTAAATAAGTTCCCTCATTCGCAAGGCTTTGAATTCCATATTGTCGAGTACAGAATATACAATGCTCTTAAATACCCTAACCATAGCATTTGTCTAAAGATGGTGTCAACTGAATGTGCAAATTGCTACTGAAAAAGGATTTGGAGCAGGCACATTTAATGAGTTTTAAGTGCTATACTGGAATTTTCACTAGCTGTCTTCACCACCCATCAGATCTTCCCCAATAAATATTATTAAAATGCTCAAATATTTTCTTCCCTTTAATTAACACTTGGTTTTTAGCAAACTCTCTCCAAAGAGGCAGGACAGAGAGAGAGAGAGAGAGAGAGAGAGAGAGAGAGAGAGAGAGAGAGAGAGAGGAGGCATTGAGGTGTCCAGGTTTCCTTAGGCATAATATATTTCAATTTTTCAAGAAAAAGCACTTGTGATTCTGTGAGATACTGCCTTGCATAGAACACGGAAAGGCTGCATTAGTGTTTACTCATCTCTCCACCGCTTATCTCACCAGAGTAGCACCTTGAACATGCTAATTATTCATTCATGTTTGAAGCATTCCAAAAAATTAATGTAACAATAAATAAGAGGAGACAAAAGCAAAGGGCTTTATTCTGTGAAGAATCAGGTTCACATAAGGAAGTCGGTACATCTTTGACTGCTACCTGCTGGGCTTGATGCACCTCTGACTTAGGATGAGTGGAGAGCAGGGAAGCAAGCGCCTGGTTCACAGGATCGACACAAGTGTGACGGTGGGGTAAGCAATATAGTCACTCGCCTTCTCAGCTGTCGATTTAGGCCCTGGAGGGAGCTGTTGGACTTTGTGGTACTTTTTGCTTTTCTGTTCCTTGACACAACATAATTTTCCGTGTAGACATCCCATTTCAGATATTTCCCCTACTTTGCATCTCTTCTTGCAGTAACCTGCCGCGTTGTTAAAGCATCTTGGGGGTTTTGCTCCAGCTGCGTGTTGGAAAAACCATAGGAACAAGGTTAATTCTGAGGATGAACAGAAAAGGCCACAAGTTATGGCCTCCTGTTCTCCCCAAGTGAACCTTATGCTGATGGGAGGAACTCAGGGCCCCTCCTTGAAAATCACCCCGAATGAAGGACATTTGACACCTCAGGCTCCGGGCCAATGCCTAGATGACACTGGGAACGTTAGAACGTACATGACAAAAGAGAGCTCAATTCCTGGTCATGGGGCTATGTAACTGGCCCTGCTAGGGCCCTGGGAACCTCTGCCCCATGCTCCAAAGTCAGCATTGCCAAAGTTCTGTCTTCAGAGAAGACAACTTGTCACCATCAATACAGTTCAGTTGAATCAACTTTTTTCAAAAATCTCAGATTTTTTAAGTAACCACATCACTGGGCTTCACACTCATTGATATGGACATGATGATGACTTCTTGCCAAGATCTTTTTGGTCTTAGCAGTAATGGCTATTAAAAACGCCTTCTCCTGTTCAGCTGGTAGGGCCTCGCCAGGACTTGGCTCCTCTTCTCACTTACCCACATATGCCTCTTAATCTCAGATAATTTTTTTACCTGGAGATCAGACTTAGTTCCTCATGGAACCCATCCCCCCTTAACACCCTAATTGTTACTTACTTGCAGTAATACGCAGGTCCTAAAATTCTTGTTCCCAATTCTAATTTTCACCTCTACAAAAAAATATGCATCAAAGATGGAGACAGGAATGCATTCTCGCTGCTCTAGATTTCACAATATGTGAAGTTTCTTCAAAGATTAGAGACGTGTATTTTGAATTCCCAGACAAGGAATTCCCCTTCCTTGTCTTCTTTCTAGCAAAAGAGAAAGTGCCTTTCACCAGCTCCTACTATGAACTTGGTGTTTAGACAGAGGCATTACATCGGACAGTAAAAACTGAGATCCACCGGGAAGCAGTCACCCATGATGATGAAGATATATTTTAACCTCACAAGGAAATGACTTTGTTGCCATCCATTACTGTTGTAGCACAGGCTGAACATAAATTGGAGTGGAAGGGGATGGCCAGGTTCTTGGGTGAAAACTGTGTTTGGCATCCAAAAGATAATTCTAGATAACAGGTTCAGACCTTTGGAGAGGACTCAAGAACTCAGCCCTCCTCTGACCTCCCTGGCTGCTCTCTTCTAAGATACAGACCAAGACAGATGCCCTGGAGAACAGGCACTTTTGATGATACTGATCAGATAGCAACAGTCTCAGAGGTTCCGTCCCCACTTGCACGAGCAGTGTTATCTCCTATGTTTTTATGGTGCATTTGGACAGTTACCTGTGAGTACCTGAGACAGCAGAACAATCAAAACCAGAAACAGCTTCATGTTAACTGATTTTCCAAGAGAAAGAGGTAGGAGGCCTTCTTTGTCCACCAGTCTTTGTCACACAGACTTTCAAAATGAGCTGGGGCTCCGAGTGTTATCAGCACTTCCAGCCCTAATTTTATCTCACATAAACAGGCAGGAAGTGCAATTTCACACCTACCTACATCCCTGATCGTAAAGTTCAGAGTCACAGAACGTTCCATCGTATCATGCCCACGCCTCTTTCCTCAGGAGGTGAACTCCAGACAGCAGAAACTATGATTTCTCCACTTGGCAGTCCGTCATTTGGGTCAAACTGGTTGGCCATGTGCCCTGGTTTCGATGAAATAGTCCAGGCTTGTTCCTCTCAATCACAAAAATACTCCAGATTGCAAGATAAGTTTATATCATCAGCCAAAATAGACCCATAGTATATCCAATAACACTGAAACTTTATGAAACGTCCAGGTAATTATTTTAGAAGTATGATTGTTTTTGGTTTGGGGTAGGTATATCTATATTATTTGAGAGCTCCCCATAAAGCCTTGCTCATATAGCAGAGCATAATTCTACAACAGAAATCTTTCACAAGATATCCCTTTAGCTAGTATTCAGCTGACTGTGAATTATCCCCTGCTCTGTTCTTGTGGGCCCTTTTATGGAATCATGTACATTTCTGTCAAAACAGTCTGAGTGTTCCTTCCTGCTTTGGCGTTTCCCTCTCCTGTTGCACTTCACTTTTAAATCCTTCCTCACAAATTATATTACCTGCCCTGCATTCCATCTCTTTGACTCCTCATTTTCTTTCAAAACCAAACTCAATCATTCTGCATGTGTGAAACAACACAAACTGGCCAGGCTTGCAGAATCTCATCATATCATGGATTGATCATGCAAGAAGTTCATGGCTCCAGGAAGTGTACCCTATCAAATATCAGAAGTATAAATGTTTACTGAGGCTTTAGTGGGTAGACTGGCCTCTCATTTTCTCCTCTCCACATTGTATAATTATTTGCTTTTTTCTCACTTAACCAGAACAATCTATATGCCATGTGTACTAGTCAGCTTTGTGTTACTGCAATCAAATATCTGAAGCAATTAACTTATAAAGAAAGAAAGGTTATTTTGGTTCACTGGTTCTGAAGGCCTCAGTCCAAGATAAAATAGCCTCACTGCTTCAGGTCTCTGGTGAGGGCAAGTACACATGGCCTCATATGGGCAAAGACTGGAGAACAGACCACCAGAGAAATAAAAACATTAACAAGTCTGCCGTGTGCAGGGAAAAAGCTCTGGACTAACTTACCCCTGGGTGAGGAGGAGGAGACAGGAACAATGGCGGAGCCAGAGCTGGGAAGAAGGATGATTTTTTAAGACACTGATCTCCACCTACTACTTATTTGGAATTTGGCAAACGTGACTACCAACTCCACCAGCAGGCAAGATGGACAGAGATCAAGAGGAGAATTCAGGGAAGGGAGAGTTCTCTTAGGATGAACAGAAGACTCTTCTAGCTCCCAAGAGTCCTCTGCCTATGTCATTTAACACACGCGCGCGCGCGCACACACACACACACACACACACACACGTGCACACACGCACACATCAATGAAGTAGCAACTTTTTGGAGAGTAATGATATATGCCTAAGATCACAGAGCTGTCAAGTGGCAAAGCAAGCACAGTAATTCCAGTGCCAGTTCTCCCACTCCTTCCCTCTTTCTATCTCATCTTACCGTCTACCTTCTGCAATTGATGTCCTGTAGCCCAAAGCAAAGAGCTCAGACCTGGGAAACCTACCTAAGCTGTTCAAATCTAACTATATAAAGCATAAAGTAAAAACCCAAAAGGAGTCACAAAAAGATGCTAATACAGTGTCCAGGTGCCCACAACCTCAATCACAGATGTAGGTTTAGATTCAGAAACCAGGTTCGTAAGCTTTGGAAAGAAAAGGGGCACAGGAGGAAAGGCACATGAGTTACTTCTTCACGTGGCATTAAAAGTGTTTCATGTTGCTCTTTTTAATATTTTGTTCATTTGTCTCATCCTACTAGAATGCAAGATATTTGAAAAGAAAAATGGTCTTCTCATCAGTCTATCTCCATGTCTAGGCATAGAAAAGACCCTTAAAAATGTTTGTTCAGTGATTGGTTTTCCTGTAGATCTTAGGGAAACAAGCAGTATGTTGCTCTCACCCAAAGATTTCTTGAGTGTCCCTGCTCCACATTTGTTATGAACACAGAGACCAAGCTACATTCCAGAGGCCTAGGAATATCACTGCTCAAATCATCCTTCAGGAATTTTTAAGAGCTCTTGAGGACAGCTCATGTTTTGGAGCATGCACTCTAATTCTTGACTGAAATGTACCATTCTTGAAGGTAATTACAATACTTTATCCTTGACATAGTATCAGCTCCTTCCAGATCGTGTAGAATTTTCTCTTCGGGTTCAAGCCTCTATGGATACCAGCGACGCAGTGATTTGAGGGTCAAAGAGGCATATCTTTACATCATGGCTCAGGAAGCAGAAAAACAGTAAAATGGAAGAAAGAAAGAAGGGCAGAAGAAACTGAGCTTCCTCCAGCCTTTATGCATCACCCTGGCAATTACTGGGGCACTGATCCTAGGATCGGGGATCTCTAAAGTCTCTTCTAAAAACGGATGCAAAATAAGACATGGAAGGAAGGCAGATAAGAAATGTTGACAGCAAAGCAGGGGAGGGTCCAGTTTGGACAAGATAGTGGAGAAAGCTCTCATTGATGCAGTAATATTTAAGCAAAGACTTGAATGTTTCTTGGAGAAAGAATGTCAGGCAATGAGAAGAGCATGGCAAAGGTCCCGAGGTCAGATCAAGCACCATGTGTGCAGGAAGCAGCAAGAAGAAAGTCCAGATTGATCTTTTTATTTAGAGAAGGACGAGAATCTTTCCTTAGGAGAGCTTCATTTTGAGGTATTTAATAGGCATCTAAGTGGAGCAACCTGCTAGAAAGGAAAGATTTTAGGTCATGAAACTGGCTCTGTCAAGGCTCTGACAGCAGAGAGGAGGCCAGTGAGCGAGCCCTCAGGGTCCCTAACATTGGTGACTAGAGCCAACAAAAGACATTAAGAGATCTTCTCAGTGAGGCCAGAGAAAACAAGATGAGTAGAGGGCTCTGGGCAGTCACTGAGTAGGCCTGTCAGGGAGGATTAGGACCACGCACTGCTGCAATGTCACGACGGGAGTAAGAGCTGACCAGGGTCTCCACCAGCACAACCCCTGTCTCTGTTCATTTCTCAGCTCATAACCTCTTACAGTGTGCCTACTGGGTGGTAAATGCATGCACAGGCCTTGCATACTTTAAACTTTGAAAGCTAGGCATGATGGTACATGACTGTAATTTCCATAATTGGGAAGCTGTAGATGATGAGTTCAAAGCCATTTGAAGCAGAAATTAACACTTTTTTTTTGCAAATTGGAATATGACATTTTTGAGAGTTGATAATGTGTCCAGTGTCACAAACTTAGTAAGAATGAGATAGAGTCAACATAAGCTATCATACAACTAAAAGTTAGCACTTTGCTGCTGTGTTAAACTGCCTTTCCAACTGCCTCCTAAGGTCAGTCTTCAGGAGACTTTTGGACAAAACACTCCAATACAAAATGCTTTACTCACAGAGTTCACCGGCCATGTACTTAGCTGGTCATTCTCTTCCACCACCATTTTAAAATCTATTCATAATTTGAGACAGCAACCTGTATTTCTAATTTTCTATAAATGACATTATACATCCTGGAAGTAATAGTTTTCTTTTTATTTTTTCTGGAAGTAACATTGATTGTCTACTTCAGTTCATTCATAAGTCTCTTTGTTCCTCTGTGCCAATTCTTGAACATCAGGAAGCCTTTGTGCAATCTTCATTAGATATGAGGAGCACATTTTCTCTTTTCCAAAGCTCTTTGTGGTTAAGCTGTACAACTCCTCTTAGACTGTCTGGAAAGGATAATGAAATGTTGCTTTTTAGAATGGTCAGGTTTTTATTTTTAATCACCTATCAGCATTTGTTCCACCACCGCCCACTGGGATTGATAGTAGCACAATTTGCTTTTAATAGCTTACTTATAGTGAATTTTAAGTGTTCCATTTCTGAGAAGTATTCTCTCAATTCTACTTAAGATGTTACCTTTCCAAATTGCTGAACAGGCTTTGTCCAGGTTCCAAAAAAAAAAAAAAAATAGGATTACTAATTCCCTTGTACAAAAACTGGGCAAGTTAAAGAAAATGCTTTAGTTATTCTTTGTGTAGAGATGAGAGAAAGATACTCAAAAAAAATCAGACACACATTTATCAAAATGGAGAAAACAGAAACTACCTATCAATCTCATCTCTCTGGGTTAACATTTCAGTCTTCAGCTTTTTAAATACGCTGTTGCAAAGAATTTTGACAGCTGAGTAAGAGGTAAAATAAAGTAAATTTCTCTGCTTTTCATCCACTCAGTTTAACATAAAGAAGAAGACACTTCTTGAACACAAACAAGTATGCATACACAATGCCTAGAGGAACCCATCCAACTGAATCAAAAACCTGGGGCTGGGGATTTAGCTCAGCAGCATAAGTACCTGCCTTGCAAGCAGGCGGTCGTGAGTTCGATCCCCGGTACCAATAAAAATGAAAAAGCCAAAAAAAAAAAACCTGTGGATAAAACATACACAGCAATGCTGAAGAAGCCGTGTTAGATGTCAATACTAATTTACGTTAATGCCTAAATATGTTAGTAAGTAGTTTAAGGAAAGTAAAGAATATAAAAGGTAAGAAATTAAATGAACCATAAGAATGAATTACTTTAAATTATGTGATAAAGTTAAAACTGAGGACAGAAGAGAATTATTAAAAATGATGAATGACATGAAATCTACAACATCATCATAATGAAATTCAAGTAGGACAAGGTATAACACTATACAAGACTAAAAGAAAATCAGAGTAGAATAAAATTTATATAAGCATAACATACTGTAAAAGGGCCGGAGCCAGGGATTTAGCTCAG